GTACTTCTCACATTTTTCTGTAATATTCAGTGATGCTTTCTTCATGATAACAGAATTGGTATGTGGACTCAAATCGTCGTCGTCCATGTTTTCCTTATTTTTATGCAATTCTTTAACACTAAAGCTGTACAAAAGGTCAACAAAATTTTTATTCTCAATTTGACAATCTTCACCTTTGACTCCTTCGTGATTGCAAAATTTAATTTCTTCCTCTCCTGTTGGATACTTATGACCTTCAGCTTGCTCATCCTTGGAGTGCGGCTCTATCTTGAAGTTTTCAATCGTAGTTTCCATATACATGGAATCAACAGATCTCGAATTTTCAACTTGCACATGCTTTTCTTTTTCTATTTTAGTAACATGGTTAGTATTGTCTTGATTATCTTGAATTACTTCTTTTTCAACCTCATCATCTGCTTTATAAGCCTTTTTCTCTTTGTCATTCATAAATTGCTCATCACATGACACTAAGACAATATTTTTATCGTACCACCTAAACATATATCTATTATCTCGACCTACGTAGGTGGCATCTAAATCATAGAACCATGGTTGTCCCCAAAGTACATGACAATTGTCCATCTTTACCACATTACATATAATCTCATCTTTGTAGTACTTTCCAAGAGAAAATGAAATTTTACATACCTCCATATTTTGAGTTTCTTGCTCCTGTGAAGTTTGATAGCAAGATGAGTATTTTTTAGTTTTCAAATTTAAAGCTTTCACCAATGCTTTGTTATAACACGTATGACCAATGGTATATTTTTCATCACATCTAAAGCACAATCTCTTATCCATTCTTGCTTGTGTATCTCTGTATGATATAATTTCTTAAATCTCGTGGTTAAATTTAAGGGGTTCGCTCCTGTCATCTCCATAGAAGTATTCATTTGAGAGGGATTCCATGGGATCGTTCTGTTTTTAGTCCTAGCAGGGTTAGTATAAGTTGAACTTCTATAGCGGGGGTGCTCCTTCTCCCACGCCTTGCTGACTCACAAATTTGTGTCCTCAATCCTTTGTGCCATATCCATGATTTGAATAAGTCCTCTAAGGTTAGCCATCAGGACTTCTGCTTGCAATTCTTCCTCCACGCCATTGATGAAAATTCTTTCCAATGTCTAATTGCCAAAAAAAGGCTGAGTATTCCTGAACCTCTCCAGTAAACGATGTTTTAGATCACTCTCCCATCTTTCCGTTGAATCCATGACAAAGTGCTGCCCTTCATACACGCCCCAACGGCCATAGCTCGTTCCACATCACTCAACTCGTTCATGTTGAAATATCTCTCAACTCTGAAGATCCAAGAGTTTGGATTGAATAAGGGCAGCTATATCTTGCGATAATGCCCCTCCCCAATTTCCAAATCAGTCTGCTCATCCACTGGTGTCGACGAATTCACCCATTTTTTCTCAGCATAGTCTGCAAATCTAATGGTAGATTTTTTATCATATTCGCGATTGTCTGCACGCCTTCATTCAGTTCTCTTCGTCCCATCGGCAAACTCAGTTCAAGCTTCTCATTCATTTTTACCAGCTCCATCCCTATTTTCGAATTCAATTTTTCCACATTTCCTTGCAACTGTAGCACTGACGCACCTACGGTTGGAATCTGAGCCAGCAAGGATTCAAGTGTTTCAATTCGAGCGTCCATTCTCGTCACTGGCATTCCTCTCCAAAAATCGTCAGCTTTGCAAAAATAACAGTAGGATTAGCAGGTTTCGAGAGCTGCTGCTCCTCTCAATTATTCAGAAATTTTTGCCTACCTCTTGAATACCTAATTAGATTCCATTTCTCCCCTTTTATTCCCTCCTAACAACTATAACTTCAGCCTAACTACCGACCTCATGAGAACTAACAACCTCTATTAGTTATAACATAAATGTGCTAAGGTGCTAGCTTCCTCCTATGACACCTCTCATAAGTAAAACATATGGGTGGCTTATCATGTTCTTGAAACATCTTTTTACTCATTAACTTTTTGAATAATTTCATTAATCATAATCACCTTGTTTAGGCATTTACATACTGTGATTAGAAATTCTCCGTGTCCCAATTTTGTTATACCATCAACATGGTCTCTCTTATTTTCTAGACTAGGATCTTTTATCTTCAACAGAGTTTGAATATCGTTTAACATATATTCTACTATTCAAATTGTTTGACATACCAAGATCTACTCTACTATTCAATAATTTGCTAATTGTTTTTACATCTTTTGAGGGACTCTCCGTATGAAACCATACTATGAAAATTGCATCCTAGAAGTATAACTTGGTTTAGATATCTTTACATTTATTTTTGGTTTGCTTAGATATCTTGTAAGAAATTTCTTTCCGTATCTGGTTTCTATACGGGGATATAGCTCTCTCACTCTTCTACTTTCAACCGTCGAATTACCTTTTTAGCTTTGTGTTTAGCTATTTAAAATTCTCAAATGTCTTCTACATAAACATTGGTCTTTCGCAACCTTTCATTATTAGGAGTGCTTATATCTTCACCCCTAATTTCTCGTTTGATATGTTCATGGTGTATAGTGACTCCCCATTTCACATTGAGAGAATATTTGGAAGTGTTTATAAACAATTTAAATTATAAAAAAGATAGAATTAAGTGGTGGATAAGTGAGTCTAACAAAATGTGGGAATAAAAAGTGACTTGAGTGTTTATAAGCAATTGATAAACATTAGACAAGCATAGGTTAAGTTTCTATGTTCATCTATACCATTTTCCTTCCTTCAAAAACCCTACAGTGATAGCCACTTATTTTGTACCCTACAAGTTCTGTCATCATTTTCCGTGAACTTGAACATCATTGGTATTTCTTTTTCATTTGTACAACTACAGCAAGTGTAACTATAACGACCCAACTTTTATGCCCAAGTCGTTAACTTACGTATTATCCGCTATAGGAGGGTCTAAGTCTATCTTTCCCCTCACGGATTTCTATCGCGTCTTCAGGATTTGAACTGTTGACATTTCCCTTAAAAATGACTTAAGTTGAATCCTAAGACCAATTGAGCACATAAGCAATGCTATGAAATTTTCATCCTAAAAGTATAACTTGGTTTAGATCTTTAGATCTATTTTTGGTTTGCTTAGATATCTTGTAAGAAATTTCTTTCCGTATCTGGTTTTCATGCGAGGATATATTGTAAGAAATTTCTACTTTCAACTTTTGAATTACCCTTTTAGTTTTTTGTTTAGCTATTTAAAATTCTCAAATGTATTTATAAGCAGTTGATAAACATTAGCCAAACATAGGCTAAGTTTCAATGTTCATCTATACCACTTTCCTTCCTTCAAAAACCCTACAGTGACAGCCACCTATTTTGTACCTTGTAAGTTATGTCATCATTTTCCATGAACTTGAACCTGCTTGGTATTTTTTTTTCCATTTGCACGACCACATCAAGTGTAACTATAACGACCCAGCTTCTATCCTGAAGCTGTTAACTTACGCGATATCCGCTATAGGAAAGTCTAAGTCCATCTTATCCCTCATGGATTTCTATTGCGTTTTCAGGATTCGAGCCTTTGACATTTTTCTTAAGAATGACTTAAGTTGAATCCTGGTACCAATTGTGCACGTAAGTTAACAGCTTGGGCATAGAGGCTGGGTTGTTGTGAAAAAATTTTCATTTTATTGTAACGACTCGGTCTCTTTGTCCAAACTATTATGTTATATGTATTGTCCAATTGGTATCAGGATTCAACTTAAGTCTATGAAGGAAAAGTCATGTGTTCGAATTCTAGGTACGCGATAGAAATCCATGAAGGGTAAGATGGATTATTAAAAAATAAATAAAAATGCTCATTTTATTGTAACGACCTAGCTTGTATGTCCAAACTGTTATGTTATACATATTGTCCAATTTGTATCAGGATTCAATTTAAGCCTCTCAAGAGAAAGTCATGTGTTTGAATCCTAGAGATGCGATAGAAATCCATGAAGGGTAAGATGAGCTTAAGCTCTTCCAGAACGGACAATATGTAAGTTAACAGTTTGGGTACAGAGGAGAGATTGTTTCAGCAACTATATTGTTAGACTTTCACCATAACTTTACATTCCTTCCACTAGGACGTTTAGACATTTTTCCGATTAAGGACAAAATCTATTGCTATTCATGTGCTCCTTCTAGAATCTATTAAGTGGGAGTCTTGTTCTTGCGAAATATGTATCCACAAAACCCAAATAATAAGCTATCACAAGTGTATTTACTTCATTTTCATTTCTTTCACCTTTTCTCCTACCTATTTCGCATCTTGTATTCCAGCTTTGTTTACTTATGTTTTATAAGCATATTTATATTCAAATATGCCACATAATTTTATTATACTAGAATATCTTTTTATCTACCTCCATTAAGTGGAGCGTGAGAATTGTTTCTTACTTCTCGCTGCATCTGAGTGTCCACTTGTGGAGTATGCTTTATCTAACCCTTCTCGACTTTTTTACTACACCTAAAGTCTCATGCACTGCATCACTAGTAGGGGCGCACTATAAAATGTTCTGAAGATTCATGCTATAAAGATGATCAAGTTTTACACCAGATTCAACTTATTAGGGTTATTTCTCTTTAGTTCCTCACACTTTCTGCCTGCTCGGATCCTTGATTTATATCTTCTATGAAGTGTGTAATATGCTTATGATCGATTTGAACATTGTTGGATATTCCAAGGTATGCTATAATTACTGGGCTGTGTTACTTTAATAATGATAACACTGTAATTATGCTGTGATTTGTAAACTTTATGATGAATTTGAGTCATATTACTCTAAAAAATTGGCCTTGATCCTTTATGCACGATTTCTGATATTTTATGTATATGGAGTGTATTAGTTCCCGTACATTAAAGGATGAAATTGCTGTACTTTATAATTCGATTTCCTTGTTAATTATAGATCTAAAATTAAATTGTGCCTTCTATGAGTTTGTAGGGACGCTTCTTTATCAAATCGATATTCTTGAGTAAAGAGCTCCGAGTTCAGGATCAGTGATGGAGTGTAATAAAGAAGAGGCCATTAGGGCCAAAGATATTGCACATAAAAAGATGGAGAATAAAGATTTTATTGGTGCTCAGAAGTTTGTGATGAAGGCCCAACAGCTCTATCCTGCTCTGGATAACATTTCTCAGATGAATTTGGTTTGTGATGTGCATTGTTCCGCTGAGAATAGGGTTTATGGGAACGAAAAGGACTGGTATGGTATTCTCAAAATCGAGCAAACTGCTGATGAGGTGTCAATCAGAAAGCAGTTTCGCAAATTGGCTCTCTTACTGCATCCTGATAAAAACAGATTTGCTGGTGCTGCGGATGCATTTAAGCTGATTGGTGATGCTTTAGCGGTTCTTACAAACAGTGAAAAGCGGATGCAATATGACAAAAAATGTAAACTTGCCAGAACATCTCAAGCACCAAATGTTGGGAGACCACCTTGGGTTCAAAACAACTTTAGGAGCAATGTTTCTTCACAGTTCATGAATCAGCAGCGCCAGCAGCCGCAACAGGAGACTCCACAAGGATTCTATAACAATCAACCGACCCGGATCTTTTGCCCATTTTGTTCTCATTGGATCCATTATTACAAGCGTGCTATTGACAAGATTTTAACTTGTCCAACCTGTAGAAAGTCATTTAAGGAGTATGAAATAAATTCTCCAGACATGCCACCAGGAGGAGCCAATAGGAGCCAGCCTGCTTTTCCACAACAGAAAGAGGCCGCTAGCCAGAACCTGTTTAATAATGAATCTGGGAGCTCCATGGCATTTCATAGAAATGTCAGCAATGAAAAAGCAGCATGTGAAACATTGCCAAAAACTAGATACACTTCTGAAGGCTGTGAGGGGTCCAAGCCAAATAATAATTTTGTGCACATTGATTCCAACATCAATAAGCGAGGTCGTACGGAGGTTTCCAAAAGAAATAGCAAGAAAAGAAAGACAACATCAGAATCTACTGAAAGTTGTGACACTCTTGAAGATGATGGTGATAGTCTTACTGGGGACAGTTTTGGAGATTGTAATAATCAGGACCCTCGCAGGTCTACTCGGTGTAAGCAACGTGTTTTCTATAGTGAGAATGTAAGCAATGATGATGAAGAGGGTGACGAAACAGTAAAACAACAAGAAAATTCTTGCGAGGAAATCCAGATAAATGGACAGAAGGAAGCTGCAAAACAAAATGAAGAAATTGGTGCACCGGCAGATGTTATGAGAAGTTTCAATAATCCTGCAACAGAACCAGAAACTTATGTATATCCCGACCCTGAATTCAGTGATTTTGACAAGAACACAAAAGAAGAATGTTTTTCAGTTGGACAAATTTGGGCAATTTATGATGAGTTGGATTGCATGCCAAGATATTATGCTCTGATTAAGAAGGTTCTATCTCCGGGTTTCAAGCTACAGATTACTTGGTTACAACCAGTCCCAGATAATAAGGATGAAAAGAGATGGGTAGCTGAGGGCTTGCCAGCATCTTGTGGGAAATTTGGACTTCTAAGCTCTGAACCCACTAAGAATCATCTTATGTTCTCACATTTGGTTAACTGGAAAAATGGTGGCAGAAAAAGCATTTACAAGATATATCCAAGAAAGGGGGAAACTTGGGCATTGTTCAAGAACTGGGATATTAATTGGTATTCTGACCCAGGGAACCATAAAAGTAATTTCGAATTTGAGTTTGTTGAGATCTTGTCGAACTATGCCAATACTACTGGTGTAAATGTTGCGTTATTGGGTAAGGTGAAAGGGTTTACTTGTCTTTTTGTTCGAACAAACATGGAAGGATTGGTATCGATTCCAGCAAAAGAACTATTCAGATTCTCTCATAGGATTCCTTCGTTTCAAATGACCGGGAAGGAAGGACCAAATGTTCCCAAAGGATCATTTGAACTTGACCCCGCTTCCTTGCCTGCCAATCTTAGTGAAGTTGTGGAGTCTGAACCTACTGAGGCCGGAAAGATGTACACTACTGCTTCTTCTAAATTTTTGGCAGATGTGGATCCGAAGGTGAAGTTTGAGAAAAACGCTCCCAAAGAGAAACTGAAAGGGAAGTTTCAGGGAAATGCATTGGCAGCAGGTTTGACAGAACCAAGCGGCAAGTCCAAAGAGACAACATTTCTAAATTCTGCTGTAGGGCAACAAGACAAGAATGTGCGACTAACTCCCAGTTACAACGTCGAACCAGTTTCGAACCCAGAAGCTTTTGAAATTCCCGAGCCAGAGTTTTACAACTTTGACGTAGAGAAATCCATCGAGAAGTTTCAGGTTGGTCAGATATGGGCTATTTACAGTGATGAGGATGCCTTACCAAAGTACTATGGTAGGATTCAAAAGATTGATACCGTCCCGGAGGTTACTTTTCATGTAGCATGGCTTTATCACTGTCTGGCATCAAGGGACACAATAAGATGGGTGGATAAAAACATTCCAATATGTTGTGGGAAGTTTATGGTCAAGAGAAAAACTCACAAAATAGTTGGCTCTCTTTCCTTTTCTCATCAATTGACAGTAGAACCTGTTGGTAAGAAGGATGTGGTCGCCATACTTCCTCGAAAAGGCGAGATATGGGCTTTATATAAGAACTGGAATAAAGAAATGAAACATTCGGAATTGAAGAACTGTGAATACGATATTGTTGAAATTGCGGAAGTAAATGATGAATGGACATTAGGTGTAGTTCTTGAACCAGTGTGTGGTTACAAGTCAGTTTTCAAGCCTCAAAGGGAAAGGCAGAAGGTCGTATCAGTGGAAATACTACAGACCGAGATGCTTAGATTCTCCCATCAGATACCAGCTTTTTGCTTGACAATGGAGCAAAGTGAAAGTCTGCAGGGTTTTTGGGAGCTCGATCCAGCAGCTGTGCCACAATGTTTACTGTGTTCGAGTTGATGTCTTGCACAATTTTGGTATGCAGTAATGAATAGGATATGGATTAGCCATTATAATGCCTAAGGTTCTAGCTTATTTTTCTTATTTAATGCTATATATTGCTATCCCATCTTGTTACCAAACATGTCGGTTGTAATCATAATTATGCACATGGAGTCACTTATATATATGAATGCTTTTACTTACGTTTTCGACTTGAAATGTTCATATCTTATGCTCATAAAACTCATTTCATGAACTATTTGCAGTTTCAAGTCACTAGTCGCCAATGTTGCTGTATGGCATTCTATTCTGATGGGGATCTTGCAATGCTTATGGGATGTAAAGGCTAAATGCAGCAGCAGTTGAGATTGGCTACACATTTTTCTGCAAAAATGGGAGCAGATTTCTGTTTAGAAACTCCCAAAAACTTAGAGCAGCTGCAAGATTTTGCAGACATAGACTACAGCTAGATCTTTCATTAGCCTATTCAGTTTTAATCCTCTCTTTTCAGTATGGTTGTACAGAAGTGATTATTTTCCTATTAACTTTTATAGCTCTGCTGTAGTTTTTGGACTTCATCAGTTCAGTCTTTCATTTGCATCTTTTGTTGAATGTTATAATTATTGAAATTTTATTTTTGAATTTGGATGTTTGGTTATTATTTAGAGGGCTGGTAAAAGAACATGTAGAAGTTTCATTTCAGGCATAGATATTCTTGTGTAAGTTTCAGTCGCTGAAGTTCAAGTGAAAGTTTGAATTGGTCATTAAATTATTTTTGTTACCCATTTGGTCACTAAAGTTAAATAATGTTATATTATCGGTTACTCCATTGGCAGCATCCATTCTGGATCAGACGTTAGTCCTAAAACGATGACATTGATTAACAATCGGAAATTATAGACAATCAAAATACCAAGTGATTTTTAAGAGAAAATCTCATATTAAAGTCAACAAATTCTTGTTGGTAAAGACGATTCAATCCTTAAACAAAAGGAAAGGAAGTAAAGTTCGTTCCCTTTTGTCAAGTAGGCATACAAACTACTTTACATTAGATTCCACTTGAACGAAGCAAAGGAGGCAGAATGGAGAAAGGAAATCACAAGGGCAGACTTGTTTGGCATTGAGGCTTTAAACCTAACTTATATTCGTCATTGATAATAAGTAAAAAATCTTGCACCCTTTTTTTTCCTGGCCAAGAATCATGTACTTGTAGCTTTTTTCTTCTTAAAAGCACAACAAAGTACTACATACCACAGTAAATTTTTGAAAAATCAAGAAGTTAATAGTATTGTAATTAGTTAATTTTTTTTTTTAAACTTAAAATGCCTTATTTAATCATCGTGTCAGTGTCTAAATTGGAATAAAATGAAAAAGAACAGTTGTTGCAATTCATTATCCTCACATTTTTCTCGCTCGCCTCCCTCCTCTCTTGTGAAAATTGAATTGTCAAATCTCATTATTTCACATAAATTGCCACGTCGCTACTCCATCATAATAATAAATAACATTATTTTTTTTTCACCCAATTCTTCGTTGTTGATTATATACTCACCATACAAAATGCACTGTTTCAACCGAGTAGGTACAAGAACATTTCCTGTCAAATTATCGCAATAATATCTTCAACTTTCACTGGGTTTTGATGCTCTTTTTCTCTTGGAGGATTCCTTGTATTTACGGGTTTTCATTTTTGCGGTAACCCTAATTCATTTCATCACTCGCGCGCGCGTTTAAATTCGATTCGTTCTCTGTTAATTCTTAATTCAGTGGGAGTTCTATTCTGTGGCATATTCTGCAATATCTTTTCAATTTTGATATATTAACGTGAAATTAGGTGTTATTTTGGAGCTTAAAATCCTTTTCCTAGGCATGTTTGGTTCACATTATTCTTTTCATTCTCATTCTTCTACTCATTTTCAACCACACATTTTTCAATAAAATAATATTTTCCATCACATTAATAACTTTTTTTTTTTTCAACCTCATATTCTCCATCACATCTACAGTAAAAATGCATTCTTACCTTCAAAATGTGCACCAAACGGTTATTCATTTTCAGTTGGGGTCTTTTGGCAAATTTTATTGGTATCTATTGCTGATGAATTTTCTTTTCTGGTTTATTTATAGAAGAGAAGAATCTATAAAATATAACTAATAAAAATATATNTCAAGCCATGCATTGCATGGCCATAAAACTAGTAATTGTATAAAAACTGAATATGAAAAGAAATTGTATACAATGTAGTGAGGATTCCACTTAATATTAATTTATTGAGGGATATATGAATGAGAAAGAAAAAAAGAGGGTGTATTTGGTAAATTTCCCCTTGTATAAACATGCTGCATTACATTGTTGTTGTCAGGTGTGCTTTTATCATTGGACTCTCCTAATGCCTCCTGTGACATGACCCTAGTGTAGCAGGCCTCAGCATTCCACATCAAGTTGCTATATGCCTATATCCCATTTTCCTTCCTTGAAAACTTTATCACTAAAAGGCACTTATATTTTACCCTCCAGGTCCATCATAATATTTTTATGAACTCGACCTCTTTGGTATTTATTTCCATTTGCCAATCACTACATCAAGTCCAACTGTCTTGTATAGGCAGGTTTTCACCTTAACTTTCTGATCCTTGGACAAATAACTATCCACTTTTCTGTGTAAGGATGAAATCTATTTTGCTGAATTTTTGCTAACTTCTAAAGAATATTAAATGGGATTCTTATCTTTATGATAAGATAAATAGAACCAATTTTGACCTCCAAAAGATAAATAGTTACCTTTCTTTACATTTCTGATGAAATCTCCTCCAGCTAAGATTTTATCTTCGTCTGGGTGCTTGAATCATGGTTGCCTTCTTTATTTGCATAGCATACATTTTGATAACTCTAACCGACTCTTCTGCATGTGTTAAACTTGTCAACCATCTTAACTTTAACCTCATTAATATTCGGCTCAATAATTATTCCTAGCACAGTTTTACTCTTTACCATTTTTTTTTTTTTTTTTGAAGATTTTCAATTTTAGAGTTTAACTTCAAAATAAAAAAGAGAAATCAAAACCTAAGTCTTAACTTCGATTCATGTTCTAAAAGGCAAAGAGAAGAAATTAAACCTTAAATCCCAACTAAACCGTGCATCCCTTCATCGTCGCCACCAGGGGCAGATGCAGAAGTTTAAAGTTAGAAGAGTATAATTGAACTTGCAAAGAAGTTGAGATAAATTTTACAACCGAAAATTTACGTCCAAAAAAATTATACCCTATATAATTTTGTATCCAAAAATTTACACGGGATATGACTTTTTCAGATATAAAATTTTGAAAAAAATTTGTCATATTCCATATGAAACTACCTAATAAAAGGATGAAAATTACATTAAGAAATTTGTATTGCAAAAATAATAAATGTTAATGAAATAATTGATTTTTTTAAAAAGAAAATGCTAGTTAGACATCTTTCTTAAAACTCACGTTTAACGCATTTTTAATTATTTTCAATATCTGTTTGGATTATTCGATATGTCTATAATATAGTTTTCGAAATAAGTTTTGAGATGATATAAGCAATTTGTATATTCGATTAGTTTACGATCATCGAAGATTTTTTAAAGTTAGCATATTATCGAAATTTTCGAAATACTAATTTTGAACGGCATTCTTTGATAAGTCATAGCATTTGTTACGATTAATCATTTCATATGCCATTAACGACGTAAAAAATTAGATCGTGAACATTTCGAAATGGTATTAAGATGCAATATTTCGCTCATATTTGATGTCGAGTTAAGATTTTGTTAAAATGCGAGAGAAAAGGAGAAAAATTCAAAT